GAAATTATGAGGCAACAAATTTAACCATAAATTTCTGAATCTTCTAAATTTATAAATGCAAGGAGTTGAAACATTGACCACTTTGAATTTTCAATAATTGAGAATTTACAAATCAACAAATGTTAATCATAAAGTTTGAACTATTACTACCATCCTCACCAAAAAGATTTGTATCTTAGACTTTTTATCACAAAAAGATCCTCTGTATAATTTTGTAAAGTCCCATCCTGTATTTTATATAATTTTATAAAATCATGTATCGTATTTTGTATAATTTTGTAAAATCACGTACAGTATTCTAATATAATTGAACAAAATCATTTCCGTTTTCCTACGACGTTCAGAAACGTTTGCGCCTTTGTTTAGCGAGCACAGATGCAAATGAACGGTACAACATAAGTAATGAATCGTTAAGCGGTCCGCAACAATAAGACTGCTTATCTTCTCTTTTAATACGGTGGTAATTACAAAGTTGGCCGAACGAGCGTGGAAAGTGTACTTGACCTTTTGCAAGGCGCAAACAGTTAATAAGCGATCGCGTGCTCCGCGGCCCGCAATAAATCGTCGAATGATTTGCCGAGATGAAGCTGTTCCTTTCAACGATTAACAAGACTAAAAACGCTGGCTCGGTCTTGTTCGAGGTGCAAATAATTAATAATCCTTTCGATACGGCTGTCGTACATGGAAAACACTTCCGAGTGAAAATAACTGTTACCTGTATTAACACAAGCTTTACACTTTAGTCTAAATCTGTGTATAGAGAAAAGTAACTGTTATCTTGATGCCTTGAAAATGAACTATTTTAACTGTTTTAACTGTCAAGTTCTTCTCAAATTTTCATTCTAATATTTCTATTAAAGAAGCTTGTTGCTTGGAATCTTGCGAATATAGCGCAAGAAATAAAGTGTAGAGGGATTTGATAAAACAACGTCTGAGGCTTGCGAAGCAACCGACTATGATCAATTAGCATTTGAACTGGGAATCGGTACGATTCTTCGGGAGTAATTAAGAAGATGCTTGTTTCAAAGAAGACTGACCTATTCTTGAACGAGGACGTCGTCAGTGGATTAAATAGGACGGGTCTCTTGATGACGAAGTGAAAATACCTTTGTACAGTTTGCTCTGAGAAACTTTCCTGACAACTTTGATACTCCATTGAAAATTTGAAGAATCTGCCTCTTCAGGTTCAACAGAAGAATCTTAGGAAATGGAGAAATCAAGGGTTCTTTATATCGAATGAACTGTTACCTTTGGACACATAGAACGTCATTGAGGTATCGAAAATTTGGAAGTTTACATTTTTCTGTTGTTTAATAATGCTCATGTTTAATAAGACTCATGCAAAAATAGTTTATTATGTTATAATTTATGTTACAAGGTACTTGTGGGTTATTAGGATGTGGCATATTCTAGCATATGTCATATGTGACATGTTATACCAAACATGTATAGAATGCACTATATTCTATTTTATAATGGAACATTTTTTATTAGGTTATGTTCTACTCCCTGTGTAGTATAACCTACTCCATTTGTTTGTTCAAACATAATGTACTAATATAAATAGAATATTAGTATAATTATACCTAACAACCCAATGAGGTTATACTGTGGTGTATCATAGTAATATAATTGATTGATTGATTTTATATGGGCCTCGACTGCTACGACTGCTCATTATAGTAATATGATAATAATGTGCATTATATTTTATGGATTGATTAATGTTAATGTATTGATCATTATTGATGTATTGATTGACAATATTAATGTATCGATAGCATATAAATATTTGTATAGCCACTCCTTTCCACGATGTCACCTATGTTGTAACACACAATCTAACATGCGTGACACGAGGGTAAAAGCCATAATGACGTAACACCCAATTCCTGTACCGAGAACCAAAAAATTTGACGAACCGATAAAACATGTTCCAGTACCTCTAAACGCATGTTGAATTATAATCAAAGCCACTATTTATACTAGTTTTTGTTGAACCTACTGACAAGTGTAGATTGTATCACGTATTCTGGTTTATCTCTAATATTAATGTATATTAGTATAAAAATAGAAATTTTAATGAACATTAGGGTAAAAACTAAAATGTGTCGGTATATTGGGGCAAAAATTGAATTTTTGGGCTTGAGAGGACTTGTTGCTATTCAATTTAATACAGAGTAATTTGAAATAAGAAATTTTTACTAATTATATGATACACGTGTGATGTACTAGGATAGACAATAGTGAAAATTATTAGTAGAGATATACTCTGAAGATTCGAATTTTTAATTCCTTAACATTGTGACGCACTCGTGACGCACCTTACACTTCAGATAATAAATAAATCAAGGACAATTGAGTCTGGGTTTGAACACCAATAATTTGTATTAACAAGGATTCCTCCAAGGTATACCAAAATATACCAAAGTATACCAAAGTATACTAAGGCATACCCTTATTTGTCTCAACACAGCAGCAATAACTCTGACACACCTACCAAAGAAATCACAGGTCAAAGGTTTAATATGAAAGTAGTGAAACTTCCAAAAATTGAAGAAAACGAGTGAAGTCCACATTTTGACCTAAGACGAATTTTCCAATAATTACGAACAATGTACAGGTATTAGGAATATGGCAAGGTCAAGGGTTTAATATACAAGTAATGAAGCTTCCAAAAATTGAAGAAAGTGAAGTCTACATTGTGACTTATGACGAATTTCTTAATAATTCTGAAGAATGTACAGGTATTAGGAATATCGCAAGATGAAGGGTTTAATACGAGGTGACACAACAGTAACGAGACTAAGTCTGTAACTTGAAAAAACAATGGAATTGGCAGCAACTGTTTTTGTGGCATCATCCCACATACCTCCTCTGTCCATGTTCCCAATTTCGATTGAATCGGTCATACCTTTTGGAAGTATTGCGTTATTTAGTGAACACGTGCAACTGCATTCTGCCGGAAAAATGTCTAACGTAAAAACCGAACAGCGAATAAACATCAAGTTTCTTGTAAAATTTGTTGAAATCTTTTGTAACATATGATGAGACATGGATTTTTACCTATGACCCAGAAAGTAAGCGCCAGTCAATGGAGTGGAAGTCTCCAGGATCCCCAAAACCCAAAAA